GGGGGAAGGAGAGAGGGGCAGAAGGAGGGGGAGGGAAATGGGAGGCTGGGAGGAGGCAGGAATTTTTTTTTCAATTAAAAAAAAGGAAAAAAAAGAAAGGGAGAGAGGGATGGAGAGAGGCGGAGAAAAAGGGAGAACTGTGGGGGGGATGCACACTAAAATAGAACGGGAAGAGGGAAGGCCTGTTTTTCTGGGCACCAATCTATTTGTATATTTGCAGTGGTTTCGGACTTGCTCATTTGTTCTTTCCTTTTTTCTTTTCCCATGACGTTGGACAGGTATGTTTATTGCTGAAAAGAAAATGAGAGACTTTTTCCCCCCTAAGACTCAATGACAAGGGCACTTTCCCACCTCTCACTATAAGCTTTTTAATACAATTGTTTAATATCCTGCCTGGGATCTATCGCCTCTTCTTGCAGCTCTCTTTTAGCCTTTTTTCACATAGTGTTCCTGCCATTAAGAGAACGGTTGTCTGACCTTTTCCCAGGGGGTTAATAAAGAATGCACTGCCTTGTAAAAAAATAAAATCAAAATCTAAAACATTCTCATTCTTTTCTTAACCACTTGTATTGTTTTGGTGGTATTGTTATTATTATTACTAGCTTTTCCATGTTAGCTATATATCCCTTGGCATAGAATCAAAAGAAAAAATTGTACCAGAATCTAGTTATTTCCATACCCAATATTGTGAAAAATCTAAAAAAAGAATTAAAAAAACCCCAAAAATCCTAGTGTTTAGGCTGTCTGTGGTGGTGCACACCTTTAATCCCAGGACTCAGGAGGCAGAGATAGGAGAATCTCTGTGAGTTCGAGGCCAGCTTGGTCTACAAAGCAAGTTTCAGAACAGGCTCCAAAGCTACAGAGAAATCCTGTCTCGAAAAACAACAACAACAATAAAAACCCTATTGTTTGTTACATTTGTCATATTTATTGAATTGAAACTAGGACTACCTCCCTTTCAATATACTAAATACAATACAGAATTAAATATTTGGAAGGTACTTTTAGAAGCTACCCAGCATAGTCATCCAAAAATATTTCTGTAATAATAATAATTGTTGTTGTTATTATTATTCAGATTGGTGTTTTGCCTGCATATATGTCTGTTCAGCATGTGTATGTCTGGTAGTCACAGAAGCAAGAACAGGGTGTCAGATTCCCTGGAACTGGAGTTACAGACAGTTGTGAGCTGCCATGTGGATGCTGGGTCCTCTGGACGAGTGCTCTTAACTCGTAAGCCATCTCTACAGCCCCTATACTCATCTTTTTAAAGTAGGATTCTAAGACAAAAAAAAATTATTTTAATTTCAAAATACCTCCTGAATTATTTTTATAATATCCCTTCCCACTAAACAGCCTGAAAATGATTTTGTTTCAGAATCTTTTAACTACAATGTCAGCACAAAGCAAACATTATTATCCAGACAACGGCCAAGGCCTCAGCTTTAAGTCTCTAGAGAAACAAAGTCAAGTGCTCTAAGCAACGCCTTTATCAGCCCCACTGGCTGCAAGCCCACCAACCCCTCAGCTTTCCCCAATGATCAAACCGCAATGCTTGTCATAGAAGTTGGTTTCATTCTTTTTTTTTCCCTCTGATTCAGGTTAATCTGTAAAATTTTCTTACCTAACCCTCTTGTGCCCAGTTACTACAGTAATCAAGAGTTAATGTATACTTTTATTGAGTATAAACTTGCCAGATACTTAAAATATTTTAAGTACTAAAAATATGTTACTTTTGAAATGTGAAAAAAAAAAAACAAAATAAATATATAGGTACCTTTAAAAAAAATAAAGCACACTGGGATTTTTTTCTTATTGCTAGACAATAAGAAACATGTATTTCCTTCTGGAAGACTTTTTTTTTTTTTTACTAAAAAGTCCTTGACGTCAGAGGCTAGTTTTGTTTCAGTTTTCATACACGCCATGCTCCGCTGGACTCTGTTACTGTGACATGACCTGAATACACGCTGAAAATGTCAACTGTGTTTAAGTGAAGCAGTGAAGGAGCACTAAAACTTGGCCTTACTTGGTTGCTGCCGTCCTCTTCTTCCTCATCACAGTCAAGACCCTGATGGGCTATCTCGGTAGTGCCATTCTCCTGAGTGGGACTGTTCTCCCCATCAAGCATTCTGGTGGCCTCGGTTGTAACTTTTACTTTCATGCTGTGAAAGCCAGAGGAGACTGAGCCCATGCGAAGGCTCACAGGCTCCCCATCAAACAGCAGGAAGTGTGAGTTACCCCCTTCTTTAAAACCAGGGGGTTGGTAATCATGTGGTGTCACTGCAGAAAGGGCAGAAAAAATTAAGTTTCAATAGAATAAGTGACAGTAATACTTCACATATAATACAAACATCTTTCGAATGCTTATGAAATCCTTCTACTTATAGACAGCATCACTTTAGTACTTAAGAAGGAATTTGACCAAAGGTCTTTACCTACCTGAATTATAATAATGGAGTCTCATGGTAAGTATAACATCATTAGGAAGGGGCCCAAGGTTCTGCATCAGTATATACAATTGACGGATTAGTAGGGAACAGGCCTTCTTAATATCATCACTGTTTGTTCCACTTTCGAAGCTTGTACTACTACTATAATCACAGAAAAGTGGCACTTTCAATCATATATAATATTTACAATATACTCCAAAACAATACAACTATTGACTATGTCACCTAATAAATTAAACATGAGGACATTTTTGTAGACAATTTTTAAGAGGGAACTTAACGGAATGATAGTACTTTCTGTAATGTACATGCAAAGGATTTCCGAATAACAAACACCCCTAAGGCATTTTAAATATGATCATTTTAAAATTTTGGCTTTCAAATAACCACATCTCATAGTAAAGAGAATAATGGTCTTGTAATTAGGTGACCTAGCATTGAGTATCAGTTGCGCTGTTAACCAGCTGAATGACCTCAGTCAAATCGTTTGCACCTATTCTAGGTCAGTTAGCCCATTTGAGAGATAAGCTTATGGACATTTCTGCAGCTCTCCAAGCATGAAATCAGTCACTAGTGCTACACTTATCTACCATATGATTGTCTTTCAAAGAAATCCCCTCCTCATTGCTAAAGCATCTGTTCTTATTTCTTTTTGTCTACACTGCAAGACATTCTCCATAAATTAATACTCCCAATAGGAGAGTCTGTTCATGTCACCTTTTTACTTAAAACTCGTCTATTACCTCCATCACACAATCAAATAAAAGAAATGGTGTACGTACAACTAATTATTTTCACCTTTACCCTCCCCTGCAGCTACGCCCACATGTATCTGCAGATGCTATTCACGTCAGCTGTCCTGTGCTGATGCCCTGGTGCGCCTGTCCAGCTCATGTGCCGTCTCATCTCTTCAAGTCTTCCCTGTACTCTTCACCTTCCCTCAGAAGAACTATTTGTCCCCAAATAGACTATAAATGGCTAACTCTTTCATTCCACACCACTAGGCTTGGTCTCTAGCTATCTAGTAAAATTTGCTGAACTAATAAATGAGTGAGAGTTGGGCTAATTATCTTCTAATTAAAAATCTTCATTTCCCTCCAACGATTTCTTCCCAATTAGTCTCACATTTAAGTACCTTCAAGAACGAGCTACAACTGCAATTTATTTGCAGTACCTTGAACATATTGGCACTAAGCAATGAAAAATCATCCAAGTAATTAAACTGTTAGGTCTTTCCCTGATTTCTGGAGAAAGTGAGAAATCACAGCATAAACATATATTAAGTAGATATTTTAGCTCCTCTATCAATTTCCAACAACTACAAGTTTTGTCTACTAGGATTTTTTAATCAGTCAGAAAGAAGGAATATAAACATAATAGCCCATGGGGCCCAAGGAAACATCAGATCATATTCAGGACCCTCATTTAAGCAATCATTCTAGAAATATATGCTATATATTAACTTCTCATTTCCTTAATATCAGAAAGATTTACCTATTTGCTTTACTGTTAACCTTTCAACATGTGTCCCTAAAATAAACAAAAAAGGTTAATCTGGTTGCTAAAAATATGTATATTGGAGTTTTGGAGAGTAAGAGCAACTGTTTGTGGTGGGGGAGAGTGTGAAATACATGGTTTGCAGCTGGGCTTCATAGAGCAAACCTTGCCACATATTCAGCTCAAGGTCAGCCTGAGCCACTTGAGACCATGCCTCTGAGAAAATAGTATATAAATACTAGTTAAATGTGGCTAATACTTTTATCTATCTATCTATCTATCTATCTATCTATCTATCTATCTATCTATCTATTTATTTATTTTGGTTTTTCGAGATAAGGTTTCTCTGTGGTTTTGGAGCCTGTCCTGGAATTAGCTCTTGTAGACCAGGCTGGTCTCAAACTCACAGAGATCTGCCTGACTCTGCCTCCCAAGTGCTGGGATTAAAGGCGTGTGCTACCACTGCCTGGCTGGCTAATACTTTTAATCTCCTTTCTGGAACTGACTTTTCCTCTTATATCTGAGTACTTTCTGCAAGTCTCAAATATGAGAGGAAAATTAAGGAAGTGAGTATTTGATTTTTTTGTTGTTGTTGTTTGTTTTTTTTTTTTGGTTTTTTTTTTTTGGTTTTTTCGAGACAGGGTTTCTCTGTGGCTTTGGAGCCTGTCCTGGAACTGGCTCTGTAGACCAGGCTGGTCTCGATCTCACAGAGATCCGCCTGCCTCTGCCTTCCGAGTGCTGGGATTAAAGGCGTGCGCCACCATCACCCTGCGGAAGTGAGTATTTGTGGTAGTTCAAATGTAATTGGCCCCTATAATCTCATAGGGAGTGGCACTATTAGGAGGTGTGGCTTTGTTGGAGGAAGTGTGTCGCTGTGGGAGTGAGCTTTGAGGTTTCCTATGCTCAAGATACTCTCAGTCGTCTTCCTGTTGCCTACAAGATCAAGATTTAGGACTCTCAGCTACTACTCAGCACCACATCTACCTGCATGCCACCATGTTCCCCACCATGATGATAATGGACTGAACTTCTGAAACTGTGAGTCACCCCAATTAAATGTTTCATTTATATGAGCTGCCATGGTCATGGTGTCTCTTCACAGCAATAGATACCCTACAACAGTTCTGGAGAGAAACCCTCAGCGCTCCAGGAGAACTAGAGAAAAGGCAGCATTTTTGCCAATTTTTTTCTTCAGAATTGTTTCTTTCAGGGTATCTATCTCCCTTATTGGAAGCCCTTTTCTACCAGTCTTTTTACAGTTCCTATTTCATCTACTTCTATTACATTTCATCAGCAGTCCTTAGTTCACCATGCCTGTTGACTGATCTGAAGTCAAAAGCTTCTGAGAGAAGAATGTTGCTCCTTAACAAATATTCCATGTGCACAGGGTCTTCCTTGGTTTTGCTCTTTGACTTGTTATTGGATCTAAAACATGGATTTTAAGACTTGATAGGGAAACACAGTGCATATGAGTTTCCCAAAGAGTGACACACAGAAAATGGTATGTGTATGGATAACCAGATGATAGTATATGTAGGCAAATTAATCTGCCAACATTAAAGATGAAAAAGATCAACAGAGCCAACAGATTAATACCAACAGAGCCACTGAAACAATAGCCAGAGACAGTCATATAGGTTCTTTTCCTAACATCATGTTGACAGCCTTATTAACATATTTTAATTATGTGTTGTTTGTTTTTCAATATTTATTTATTATTATTTTTGGTTATGTGTAGGTGTGTCTGCATGTTGGTATGTGCACATGAGTGCAGGTGTTCTCAGAGGCATGACTCCACTGAAGCTGGAGTTATAGACAGCTGTAAGCCACACAATGTAGGTGCTTGTAATCAAAATCAGATCCTCTGGAAGAGTGTTTTCTTAACCACTGAGCCATTTCTCCAGTCCCTTTATTAACATAATTTTTTAAGAGCCATGACATCCACCATTGCCTCTACTCTTACCAGCTTAGTCTATAGATTTCAGATGTTAAAACAACTATTATCATTTCTACTCATAATAGTGGGGTTTATAGGGCTTATGACAAAATGATTTAAGGCTTTCCTCTGCCCATATAGAAACTTATTTTACTTTACTCATATACATTTCTTGAGTTCATTAAACAATTATATTCTACCTGTCAAAGTTCATAGTGGTTCCCTTTTCTGTGTATTTGAATTTGAATTGGTATATCTCAGTTACTTTCTAGAAAAAAACAAAGAGAACAGAGAAAGAAGTTAATTGTGAAACAGAACCACATTTTTACCTGATAAAAAGGAACATTTCATTGATGCTTCCTCTGAATGTTTGTTTCACAGCATTACTTTATCCAGGTATAATGATAACTTAATCCCCCTCCTCTCAGCTAAAATTAAGTTAGGTAGCAAATATTTCCATTAAATTTTACCAGTTGAGGAATTATTCAATCATGTAATGAATATTTTATCAAATGTCTACTTTGAACTAGAAAGTGAACAAGGCAGAAAAGATTTTTTCCCACCGGATCTACAAAGATTCTAGCTCATAAACAAAGAAAAGATAATTTCAGATAAAATAAGTGTTATGAACAATATAAAGTGGTGATAGGAAGTACAAAATAGAGAAAGAAGTGCTAGATTCAGAGGGGTCAAGGAAGACTTGCCTGAAGATGTGGTATTTTGAGATGAGCCTCATGACATGTCAGTCATATACAGACACGTGGGGTAGTGCCTTGGGTAGACAGAGCAGTAATGCAAGAGCTCTTAATTGAGAAGGAATGTATTTTTTTAGAGTCCAAAAGAGGTGTGGTTGTGAAACTGTTTTTTTTGTTGTTTTGTTTTGTTTTTTGTTTTGTTTTGTTTTTGCTTTTTTCGAGACAGGGTTTCTCTGTGGTTTTTTTTTTGGAGCCTGTTCTGGAACTAGCTCTTGTAGACCAGGCTGGTCTCGAACTCACAGAGATCCGCCTGCCTCTGCCTCCTAAGTGCTGGGATTAAAGGCGTGCGCCACCACCGCCTGGCATGAAACTGTTTGCAGCAGTAAGGATTTTGAATTTTATTCTAAGATCATCAAAGTCTATTGAAGGTTTAAACAGGTCAGAGATCCCAGGACCTGATCATCTGTATGCCTTAAGAATACAGACAGTATGTTGGTTTGAATAAAAATGGCCCTCATAGACTCATATGTTTGAATGCTTAGTCACCAGTGAGGGAGTGGAACTATTTGAAAGGATTAGAAAGGTTAGGAGGTGTGACCTTGTTGGAGGAAGTGTGTCACCAGTGATACCAGGCCCAGTGTCTGTCTGTATCTCCCCACCCCCTCTTGGCCTACAGATCAGGATGTAGCTATCAACTACTGCTCCAGCACCCCCTTGCATTCTGACATGCCCCTCACCATGATGATAGCAGACTTAACCTCTGCAAATGTAAACAAGCCCCAATTAAATGCTTTTTTCTTACAAGAGTTACCTTGGTCATGATGTTGCTTCAAAGCAAAAGAGCAGTGATTATGACAGACAGGAAAGGACCAGGTGTGGTGGCATGTGCCTTTAATTCCAGCATTTGGAAGGCAGACCTCTGTGAGTTTGGAGCTAGCCTGGTTTACACAGCATGTTCCAGGACAGCCAGGGATACATAGAGAGACCATGTCTCAAGAAAAGGAAAAGAAAGGGAGGGTGGGAGGGAGAGAAGGAAAAAGGAAGGCAGGGAGGGAGGGAAGGAGGGGAAGAGGGAGAAAGGAAGGAATAGAGACAGAGAAGTCATAAGAACAGCTAGAAAGTCTCTGTGGTAATTTAGGGAAGGAGTGAATGGCAACAAAGATTTAAAAAATGGAAAAAGGAACTATGGCTTATGGCATCAAGTCTTATTTCCTGAACTAAAAACTATTACTGCTATCTGCTCTTAAGGGTTTGGTAGAATACAGGGAACAAATTTCCTCATAAGAAATATATACTATTGAAAATAAACTAGTTCTTTTTATTAAACTAGTTCAGGCTGGTGACATGACTCAGAGGTTTCAAAGCCAGGTGGAAGGCTGGAGAGATGGCTCAGAGGTTAAGAACACTGGCTGCTCTTCCAGAGGTCCTGAGTTCAATTCCCAGCAACCACATAGTGGCTCTTGACATCAGTAATGAGATCTGGTGCCCTCTTCTGGCCTGCAGGCAGACGTGCAGACAGAACACTATGCATAATAATTTTTTTAAAAAGTGTTTACAGTGCAAGCCTGATGACCCAGTTTTTAATCCAGGGACCTACAGTGGAAGAACTGACTCCTGAAAGTTGTCCTCTGATCTCCCCGCTCTTGCTGTGCGCACGCACATATACATGGATAAATAAAATAAAAATTAATTTAAAAGATTTCCGCTTAAAAATAAATGTTTCACTCAGATAAATTTATAGTTTGTAGACAGAGCTGAAGGTGCTAGGGGCAGATAGAGTATAAGTCGAAATCAGAACACAAAATATGACCTTCATTCATCTGGTTCAGAATAAATTCTTGACAATGTGGAATTGAGGATGTTAGCGTAACCAAGAACAGCTTTAGTGTTCCTGTTACCTTTCTCTATGATTTGGTCTCATAGATCTGCTGATCTTATACTTTAGCATACAACTTAATCACAGGTGAGCAGGTCCTGGGAAATTAGCTCATACTGCCTGATCCTAAAAGACTGATTGTAATAAGTTAATTTTAAAAGAGAATTGCTTTTACTGGTCAGCCTATTTGAAAAAAATCAAAGGACGCTCAGAAGGCTGTTTTGTGAATACAATAGAAGAGATGGGTCAGATTAGACATAGCTGCAGGTGCCTAAAAGCAACGGGTTCCCTCTGGATGGGCTAGATACACAGTGTCCTCTTAGCCAGTGGTAAGTGTAATTGTTAAGCAAACAATGCCTATTCTTCTTGCCTGCCCACATTTCTAGTCAACTCTAGCCTCTTCATACCATGAGAACGTATTTTGTAAATAAAAGGAACCTTTAAGTAGTTGGCAATTTTTTATTATGTGACTCCTAAACTGATTGTTTTACTGTAGAGATATATAACTGCTTTACAAAAGATGTTAATCGCAAGGGTGGAGAGAAAGCTCTGGTTAAAAACACTTATTACTCTTACAAAGAAGTTGGGTTCAATTCCCAGCACCTGTATCAGGAGGCTCAAAACTACCTGGAACTCCAGTTCTCGAGACCTGACACCCACTTCTGGCATCTAAGGGCACTGCACACACATGATGCACATACAGACAAGTAGACACAAATGCATGCAAATTTAAAGAATAATTATTTAAAAGTGTAATTCTTGATCATTTCAAACATGCTCAGGCTGCTTCTCACTCTACATTCAAATCCACTGGAAAGACTTCTTGAGTCTGTTTCCAAAGTGGATCACAAATCCGTGTGATCTTTCTTCTCTGTTGTCCAGCCAAGAGTTTTTGAAAGTACAAATCAGGCCAGGTATAGATTACACATACTTGCATCCCCAGCTAATCAGTATGCTGAGGCAGGGAATCACAATTTAAGGCTGACCAGGATAACATACCTAGATACCCAAACTCAAAATAATGTTTAAAAAAAAAAAGCCAGGGTTGAGTTCAATTCTGAGGACTATAATAAAACAGTAAGATTGCTAGTCTCACAAAACTCATACACAGAGTTCTTAATGATTTATAACAATTTAAGACTTATTTTAGCTTATGTGCCTTATTAATATTCTCCTACATTTCAGTCTGTGCTTGTAGAAAAAAGCTCATTACCACTTTACATTAATTTAGTTACTTTTCTCAGGCTATCTCTTTTTTGTTTTGATTTTGTTTTCGTTTTTTAAGACAGGGTTTCTAGGTCTAACAGTCCTAGCTGCAATGGAACTGGCTCTTGTAGACCAGGCTGGCCTCGAACTCACAGAGATCCACCTGTCTCTGCCTCCTGAGTGCTGGAATTAAAGGTGTGTGCCACCACTGCCTGGCTTAAATTAATCTCTTTAAAGAAAGCAATCAGAACAAAACTGTAAGTGCAAATGTCCCACAATTGTGTACACTTATCCTACTTCTGTTACTTCTGAACTAAGCACATTTGGATTTAATCTATGGTTCAATTATTGTACTATGATCTATTCTTCCCAGGAGTGCTGTTAATTTTAACACCATGTGTAAAGTCTATTTTTCTTCCAAATAAATAAGAATAGTTTTATTTTGTGCCATTTTGTTTATGGAAGGTTATCCTTTCAAGGGTATGACTCAAACTTTTGGCACAGTATCAATAAATGCCAGAGACCGTTTATCTGAAAATGTTGTTTCATGAGTATTTATGAGAATGAGATCAGAGAGCTACACAATTTTCTCAGTGCCTTGATGTTAGGCAGTAGCCAAGAACACTGTAGAACTATTGTAGTAGTGATACTGTAATCATCATTGCTATGGTGATTTGAATGAGAAATGTCCCTTACAATCTTAGGTATTTGAACACTTGGTCCCCAGTTGTTTAGAAATTGTTTAGAAATGTGTGGAACCTTCAGGAGGAACCTTGCTGGAGGAAATGTACCATTGGGGGTGGACTTTGGTAGCTGCCTCTTCTAGTTTGCTCTCTCTGCTTTGTGTTTGTGGTTGAAGTTGTAAGCTCTCAGCTTACTGTTCCTGCTGCCATGCTTGTTCCTTGTTATTCCTCCCTGCCAAAAGGAACTCATTTCTCAAAAACTGTAAGCCCAAATAAACTTTCTCTAAGTTCTCTTGGTGACTGTGTTTTATCATGTCAACAGAAAAGTAACTAATACAAATGCTTTGTTTTGAGTTGTTTTGTTTTTAAATTAACCTGTAGTGTTTGAAGTTTTTTTATTTTATTTTTATTTTTGTTTGTTTTACTTTTTATTTTTTGTTTTTCAAGACAGGATTTCTCTGTAGCTTTGGAGCCTGTCCTGGAACTAGCTCTTAGAAACCAGGCTGGCCTTGAACTCACAGAGAGCTGCCTGCCTCTGCCTCCCAAGTGCTGGGATTAAAGGCGTGTGCCACCACTGCCCAGATTCCATTTTTTTTTAAAGACTCAACTACCCTATCATTTTTTAGTAATGAGAAGTGTGCCATTAAAGCCTAGTACTTAGGGATTGCTACTATAGTGTATAACTGGTTAAGTATTCAAAATATTTTTATTGAGTCATAGAGAACTTGGAGAAAAAATTAGGGGCCGAGTGGAGCTCAAAGGGTAGAGGGCTTATCAAGCATACACAAAGACCAGGTTCCATCTCTAAGACGGAGAAAACCAGGCATGTGGTGCCTTGTAATCTCAACACACTCACATAAACAACTAAGGCATTTGGTGGAGGCAGGAGGATCTAAAGTTCAAGGTGATCCTCAGCTACACAGTGAATTCTAAAAACAGAGGGTTGGGGAGAGAGATTCAGGAAGCAGAACCTAAGACCAGTTTGGCCATTAAGGAATTGCTACACACTTACTTGTGTGCAGCCATTTCCCCCTTTACTTACATGGTTATTTGTAATCTTGCAAAGAGAAAATACTAAGGACTTAAAAACAATTTAGTCTTGAATATCACCAGTTAAACTAAATCCACTGGCTTAGAGAAGGAACATTCAAAGCAAGGGGAAAAAAAAAGCTAGGAGAGAGACAAAACAGAATGAAGAGCCAAAGGGCTTTCTCGCTCCATCTCTGTGTCACAGCTACAAAAGTCATGACAGTGGCGCAGTAACACGTGTTTAAGGCTGTTCTAGGCACTCTGAAAGGTAGAAAACAACAAACACCCTTATCCTCAAGAACTCCAAATAGTCTTAGGAAATATATGAATCAACTGAGAGGGTTAAACTATGGAGCTCTTCTGGGAAAGAACTTTAGAAAAGATAGAAATTATTACAGTGAGTCAAAGAGGCTTTCACAAAAGACTTGAATACCAGCAGGCCAGCGAAGTTTAGGAATCACTAAGCAAGTTGGAGAATCTAAAGGTAGGAGTAAAGACTAATGCTCTCAAGCCCAGTGTGGAGGAGGTGTACAACTTTAATCCCAGCACTTGGGAGGCAGTGGCAGGTAGATCTCTGTGAGTTCAAGGCCAGCCTGGTCTACTGAGCAAGTTCCAGGACAACCAGGGCTACACAGAGGAACCCTGCCTTAAAAAAAAATTAAATTAAAAAAGGAAGGAAGGAAGGAAGGAAGGAAGGAAGGAAGGAAGGAAGGAAGGAAGGACGGACTAATGTTCTCAAAGTCTGTCAAAACATCAACAAGGAGAATTCTGGTGGTAAAGAGCTCAGAATTATTCTGAATCTTTTATTTTTCCAAAAGATCATAAAAATAAATAATTAAAATAGATAAAGTATGGTCATTGAACATTTATGATTAATGTTGAAATGTTACAGAAAAGTCTCAGCTCTAATCAATGTTGTTTTTCTTTTTTCTAACACTCTTACAGTTTCTAAAAAAAAATTACATAATAAAATAGTTCCATATACAATAAAATATAAAGTTCACGATAAACTGCTCTGTTCCTGTGGTTGTCTAGTAACAATCTACAGCCTCAACTCAGATAAACATACTTATATATGATACATAAATTACCATCTTACCTCAGGTTCCTTGGGATTTGTGTACAGCTGTTTAAGAGAAAATATAGAGTACTTAATTTCCAAAATTTACTAGATTACTGCTCATTCAATACACTGTCTATGGAAAGGGTTCAATTTGTGCTGTTAACTGAGTACTACCTGGGCATATTTCAAGCTAGAGATAGGATTAACCCTTATTTTATTAAGAACACAGAATCTTTTGTTTGTTTTTTTCAAGACAAGTTTCTCTGTGTATCCCTGGCTGTCCTAGAACTCTGTAGACCTGGCTGTCCTCTAATTCACAAAGATCTGCCTACCTCTGCCTCCAAGTTCTAGAATTAAAAGCATGTGCCACCACACCCAGCAAGAACACAGAATCTTTAGATCTATGAACACTAAGTATGAGAAAGTTTCTTTTTTAAGATTTACTAAGCTATACAGTGTTTTGCCTGCATGTATGCCTGCACAGCAGAAGAGAGCACCAGATCTTATAGATGGTTGTGAGCCACCATGCGGTTGTTGGGAATTAAACTCAAGACCTCTGGAAGAGCAGTCAGTGCTCTTAACCTCTGAGCCATCTCTCCATCCCTCAAGAAAGTTCCTTAAAATTGGTGTAAAGTATCCGTAAGTAAAATTACAGATATGACTGAGCTATAACATAGTTAAATAATTAATATATATTATCAATGGTATCTCAGTTTTCTACCATCATTTTATACCCATGGGTATATAAAATTTCAAAAAAAGTCCAAAAAAACTTCAAAAACAATAAACTTTAAATCTGTTACATAACTAAAAAAATGAAATTGTGTCAATAATGGTATATTCTATATGTTCTCTCATGTAACATGTCAAAGAAATATACTGAATATTTATAATATCTTATTAAAACTCTGATATATCCAATTTTTTTCCTTGTTTTTGTTTTTTGAGACAGGATTTCTCTGTGTAGTTCTGGCTGTTCTGGAACTCACTCTGTAAACCAAACTGATTTTGACCTCACAGAGATCTGCCTGCCTCTGCTTCTTGAGTGTTGGGATTAAAAGCATGTGCCACCCCTCCTGATTGATATATTCAATTTTTAAATGTTAAAATGCCATAAATCTCAAAAAGGGAGAAAGATTACTGTCTAAATGCTTCACTTGCCAAAAGTCAATGCAGAGTCAGAGATTTAGTCTTCACGTATATACTTACTGTTAGCACTGCCATGTGAAGCTTCAAGAGAAAAGAAAACTGCGTTATTATATGGTTGTACTATTGTATTGTCATTTCTGATGGAGACTAATTCAAATATTACTTCAGAGAGGTTCCAAACACTTGAGTGGGAAAATATTCAGAGGGCCAGAAAAAGGAACTAATAATTTCACTCATTCAAACAATGTCTATTACAAACACTGTCTTTACTGGGACAGAAGAAGGATACCAAAAAGAGCTGTTATTTTTCTAATTTGGGAACCAACTATATACAAAACAATTCATTATTGATCAAAATTAAATATACCACAAGAATCTCTTAAAAGTACTTTTAAAACTAATCTAGCAAGTTAAAAATATTAGAAAGTCTGTTATATCTTACGAATTCTTATCTCTCTATATTCCACACAACTATAAAGACATTTTCTCAGCTTTAACAAATTTTTAAATATATAGACATATATACAATCAAGTCTATGATAAATTTTTAAACATAAAATATAAAATTTGAGGACCATTAATTCCACAGCAATTGACTAAAACTCTTTAGTGCCACCATGTGGCTATTTTTGTATATAACTGATTTTCATAGCCACATAGTAAAACTATTAATCATTTATTACATTATAAAATGTAATAATTTTTTAATTATACATTAAAAATCTGATCACTGATCTCAAGAAACATGCAGACTGGCAAGGGAGACAAACAAGAAAAAAATCACATGGATACACTATTACATTCATGGTTGGGTTTTTTTTCTGTGAAGAAACAACACAAGGTATAAGGAAAACACCGGATGGGGACAATTTTAGCTGCAGGAAAAAAAAAAAGGAAAAACTGGAGTTAGGCAGGACATACACATGGGGTCTGGGACAGAATTTTTCAAGCAAGAGGAACAGTATTGCGAAGATAAAGTAACTGACATGCTCTGGAGTCTCTATGTAGCTCAAACATGGGAGTGAGGGGCTATTTTGGAAAGGAAAACAGGTATCATTCAGCCTTCTTGATTATTTGAAGGACTTTAAACTTCATTTTAAAAATTCTCGGAAAATTTTTAGGCATAAATAATAACATGATCAGACTTCAGTTTCTGTAAGAATGTAGTGTGGAAAGTGGGCAGGATTGTACAAGATGAGAGTGAAAATAAGGAGAAAAATTATATAATTCCTTTTTATAAGAATTATTTTAATATACATATACTTATTTTAAAGAATTCAAATTTTGAAAAAAAGAATTCAAATTTACCATAAAATAAAAAGTACCCAGATTTTTATAATTAGTAATATCATGGTCTTCAACAGAACATCTTCCAAGGGCTCTAGTTAATCAAAACTTGAAACTACATTTTTTTTGTTTTTAAAGAAACAGAGTCTTGTTTCATAGCCTGGATAGCCTTGATCATGATCTTTCTGCCCCAATCTCCCACTGAACTACTTAATTTTATATACTCCCTGCAATAAGATCATATGAGAAAAGTTATAAAACACCAACAATCAAAAATAATGTCAATACTATTTAAGAGTCCATCAGGCATGTCCACCTTTTGATACTGTGAAATGACATTGTCATCTACAAAGTGCACACTGGAAAACCATGTAACTGAATTACAAAAACCCTACAACTGTCTGATGTTTTAACTGTTTACAAATTTGAATTGGACCACATTCATAGTTATCCTGAGCCACGAGGCCCACAGACTGTGAATTGGACACAACTGTATCTAAGATTTTGCCTATTCTTTAATTTTTTTAAGACATATTAACTTGTGTGTGTATATGTATATCTGTGCAGTATTGCATGCAGTGCCCACAAAGGCCATAAGAGGGTGTCAGGTCCCCTGAAACTAGTTACAGGTGCAAGTGAGCTGGGTGCTGGACGCTGGTCCTCTGGAAGAACAACCAGTATTCTTAACTATTAGGCCAACTCTCCAGCCCCAGTTTGTGTTTTCATGTTCCCAGAACAGTTCAACTACTGTTTTCTATTATTAACTCACTCAATATTTTTTAATTTAAAAGTTTCATTTATTATTTCTGTATATGTGTGTAAAATTCAAGTGTTTGGAGTACACATTCCATAGAATGTAAAAGTCAGAGGACAACTTTGTGGAGTCAATTTTCTCCTTCCATTTTTACATACGTTCCAAGGATCAGTAGGTCGCAGGCTTGTGTGACAAGTACCTTTATCTGCTGAGCCATCCTGCCTGCCTCTAAATCACTCCATTTCAAACATAACTTTCACAAGGTAGGTTCTGTTATATCACATTTTTTGTTAAAAAAGTAAGATACTGTGGTAGGTTGCTTGCCCAAAGTCACAAAGATATAAATAACAAAATCAGGATTCACCTCAGACTGACTATAGATTGCTGATCTTTTTTAGTATTATAATTTTTAAATTTATTTTTATGAGCATGAATATTTTGTCTGTATACATGTATGTGCACCATGTGTGTGACTCTTAGAGCCAATGGAATTAGATGGATGGTTATGAATCACCATGTGGGGGCTAGAAATTGAATTCTGGTCCTCTGCAAGAGCAACAAGTGCTCCTAACCACTGAGCTATCTCTCCAGCCCAAGAATGCCTGCTTACATTGTAATGCCTCTGGATGATGAACATCCAGGATATGATGCTAATTAATCCTGTGATGACCCTCAACCTGTTCTCAACCAGTCCAAGTGCTCAGAGGCTTCAAAGATCAATAGTCATTTCTTCTTAAGCTAGAGATATAGTTTGCGGGCACAACACTAGACTAGGATGTGTGAAGCTGTCCTGTACTCACCCCCAAAGATTCTTTCTTATAAAGATTCCCCTTAAATTTCTCTGCTAGGTTGAGCCCCTCTATTGTTCTGTTTTCCTAATGCATAGATTCTCCACCTTTCCTTTGGCATGCACAGTTAGGAGTAGAACTGTTTGTTACTTGTACTGTGATAAGGTGATGTCAAAATCTCTCTGCAGTTTTAAGTTATCAAACTGTCATGGAAATCAAGTCCAATATGACAAAAGTACTGACCAATCAGAAAGGGTGCAAACTTAGCTCTCGAATTGGGTTCCTATGAACAACTTTTAGACTCTTTAATTGGTGACCTTTACAGAAGTCTGGGAAGTCTCAAAAGAAACTCTGGTGGGGCAAGGAGGAAAGTGTTGGTAGGAATTCACACAAGGATACCAAAAAGCAACTTCCCATTCATACAGAAGTACTGGCCAATAGTTTAGCAACAGGTACAGCTGGGCGAGTGTGTAACTGCTAACCATCAACACTCACATGGGCACTACTCACCTTTTGTCACAGTCTATAGGCCCTTCCCTTATCTGTCTCATCTTTGTATATCTCTGTATATCCTCTAGATCAACATGGAATAAATCGTGAATAATAACTTCGCTCAAGAGAGGGAATGTATAACTACACTAAATAATTAAATAAAAGCTTAGTCACCCCAACAGTTCTTAAATTGGAGCTGAAGAGTAAAGACACAAGGAAAAGTGAAGGAGCATAAAGGCAGCAGTTTCGTTTATATGCATCTGATCTCTTCAACCAGGCCTGGAGCCTTTGTTTTTCACGCTCTTCATAATTGCCTAGGGGCATAAGCAATCATATGTATGTAAAATTTGAGCTGTGTTTTTAAAAAATCAGTTATACATGAGTTATAGAATAGAATAAAATAAAATAGAGTAAAAACCCATTATTTAACTATTTTTTCCTTTCCCTTCTGCAAACTGAATTACCACTGTTGTGAACATGTTCAATGTGCTACCAGATTCTTGTCTTCCCTAACCCACATCCTGTGGATCTTGTCCAGTGACTTCAGAGGAAATTTTGTGGTTAAAAAGATATGAGTATATACAAGAGAAGAATGGAACTTTCATTTCTAATTGATGTTAAGGGAGACATCACTGGGACAACAAAGACAAAATAAAAGAGAGTTGACTGGTGAATACAAAGGTAGGCACTGTTACACTGTTAAAAACTACAAGATACAAAGTCTAAGCACTTTGTAAACTTTTTTAAAGGTTAAAAGACAGTCTTTAATCCTGATGTAAATTTTAAAACATTCTTACGTATCTCTTCTCCAAAGCATCAAAACAACCTTGAATCCTGTTAAGAAATAAATATCCCAATGTCACTTTGGACCACATAAACAGCCAAAAAAATAAATCCAAGTATATAATTAGTTTACACTTCTATTTTGAAGTATATAAATTAACAATCATTTTGCCTTTTCTGTTTAGCCACATTTTAATTCTCCCAATACTTTTCCATATATTAATGGAATATTATAAAAATAGGCAAGCAGTTCTGAAGCACAGAGTCTTTTCTCTTCCTGTCACCACAATGTTAGTACACAGATATACCTATGGTGAATAATCAAATTTAGAATTTTTTTCTTCATACAAGTCCATTTTCTTCTAAAACTAAATCAATAGTTTAAAATAATACTGAATAGCTGCTACGTTTTCCAGGAAAGAGGACTAAGAAAAGTGGTTTAAGGAAATTATTTTACAAAATAAAGTTTTAGGGGTAATTTCAGCCATGACAAAAAATGTTGTTCAAATTTTACAGAATTTGCTTACCATTTAATAATATGTAAAGACCCAGGGCACTTTTTGTCTTCCCGGAGAATTTTTAAACTGAGGTCTAAAAAAATAAAAACGCAACTGTTGTACTGAAAAATCCATGCCAAATAGTGCATTTCCTGCATATTCTCTCTCTCTCTCTCTCTCTCTCTCTCTCTCTCTCTCTCTCTCTCTCTCTCTCTCTCGCTCTCTCTCGTTTTTCAAGACATGGTTTCTCTGTGTAGCCTTGGCTGTCCTGGAACTCACTCTATAGTCCAGGTTGGCCTCAAACTCATAGACAGCCACCTGTCTCTGCCTCCTGAAAGCTCGGATTAAGGTATTCACCACCACTATCAGATACATTTTTAAATTTCTAAATACCTACTTTAAAATTAAATTCTATGTTAATAATTAACTCAGTACGAATTTTGGAAGCACTTTGGCAGACTTCCCATTCTACAGTGTAGCCCAGCCGCATTTATTGCAAAGTTGGTTTCTATTACTTCATTGTTTCCTTCTAAGTAATCTAAGCTGTCACTGAGATAAATCTCAACTGACAATTTAAACATAGTCCAAATTTAATTCTTTATTAATTCTTTCCCTCTCAATGAAAAAAATTAAACACAAATGTACATATTATTCTCAAGCATTTCCATGTGAAATATATATATTTCCGTAACAGAAAAGAAAAGGAAGACATTACAATTTTGGGTTAAAATTTGTATAAAATCATCGACTCATATATGATTTAACAGGAGCTTCTTGAATTTTGAAATACTTATTAATTTATGGATTTGTGTATATGTATGTACAAGTGCAAAAGCATGGGCCACATTAAACAATTTACCGGAATCTCTTTCATGATGTGTTGGTCTCAGAGATTGAATTTATTATCATTACCTTTGGCAGCAAGTACCTTTATATCTGATGAGCCATCTTACCAGCTCTCAGTCTTTCATCTTTTAATATTGTTTTCCTATACTAAAGTTAACATCACTTCCACTATTGTTGAGGGATATGAAAATTATCCTAATTTGACAAATACTTAGAGATTATTAAAAAGAAGAGTGTTGTACAAACATGGAATATGGAACAATCTTTCTGTACACAGTGAATAGGTAATACTCTCATTGGTTAATAAATAGCTGACTGGCCAATGCTAGGCAGGCAGAGAAGTTAGGCAGTACTTTCAGACAAAAAGGGTGCAGGGAAGAAGGAGGGCAGAGTCTCAGAGGATGAGGAGAGAAGCAAGATGAACATGCTGTGCTAAAAAAAAAAGTACCACCATGTAGTAGAGTGTAGATAAGAAATATGCGTTAATTTAAGTTGAAAGAGCTAGATAGTAATAAGCCTAAGCTATAGGATGATCATATATAATTAATAATAAGTCTCTATGTGGTTATTTGGGAGCTGGCCAACGGTCCCAATGAAAAATTCCACCTACATTTGAACATTTTTGTGACATGTCACTTTTAATACAAAAACATTGAGGAAGACTCACTTCTACTATAACAGTCATAAAAAAATGAAACTATGAAAAATGGTTTTGTCTCCATGCCTACAGAAGTATGAGCCAAAACTCCTAAAAAGAAGCTGCCCTTGACAAGGCTGACTGATAAAAACTTCGATGATGTGGAAAGCTTGGAATGCTGCTGGTCCAGAGTCTAACTACAAATACCTTATGCTGTCACTAGTCCCTTAATACCCACTTATTGCCTACATGTTTATGAGCTAACATCCTTGGGTATAGCAGGTGAGTCTTTGGGGGAATGTACTGACAGACTTGCTAGCTTACACCAACATAAAAGCTGCAACTGTCAGCAGACAGCACCTAAGGCTGATAAGCAGAGATTTCCCCACTTCGCTATACCCCTACCATAAAAGAGTTTGAAAAGTGCCTTGATTAGTGACTTTCTTTTCCTGTTACTATAAGAACTTCATGAAACTACTTCCATACTAGAACATGGAATTTGGCTTTGGCAGCAACATAAATTTTAATCGCTCATATTTGGCTCCAGAATAAACTATCTCTTTTAACTTTTTGTTTTGTTTTGGTTTCTTTTCAAGACAGGGTTTCTCTGTAACTTTGGAGCCTGTTCTGGAACTAGCTCTTGTAGACCAGGCTGGCCTCGAACTCACAAAGATCCGCCTGCCTCTGCCTCCCAAGTGCTGGGATTAAAAGCGTGCGCTACCACCGCCCGGCCCTCTTTTAACTTTTGAGGTTAAGAGCTGTGTTTTTCTTTCTTTTTTTTTTTTTTGTCAACAGTAATAATTTATATATAACAAGTATTTAATTTCCCAAAGCATGTCTTCTTTTATAATTCTGTGTTCCAAACAGGAAGGGAAGCTAATTATATGATACCTGTAAACAGATCTGTAAGATCCAATCCCATAAGTTTAAAGAAGTCATTAACACAAAGAAAGGTGCCATGATTACAAGTACCAAGCTTATGTGTTTACAGCAAACATGCATTTCACTAGTGTTCATTTGGTGAATCAATATTGTTAAGAAAATTACATTGGAATGGAGCCATGGTATATTATTAAATATAAACATGAGAAATTTAAATTAAATTTTGAAAAAGTAGCATCTTAAAAGGAAATGTTTGGTTCTCTATATTTATTTCCCAAATGATAGTTCCCATTTTAGTGATTAGCCAGCAAGACTAATCTTGTTATAACAAAGCTTTTTAAAATTTTATTTTATTATCTTTATGTGTATGGATGTCTTACCTGTATGTATGTCTGCACACCATATGTGTGTCTGGTGCTAGGGAAGCCAGAACAGAGTGTTGCATTCCCTGGAGCTAGAGTTACCGATGGCTGTGATGTACCATGTGCATGCTGGGAATTGAACAAGGTCCTCTGGAAGAGTGCTTTTAACTACTGAGTCATCTCTCTAGCCTACCAGTTGGTGCTACAGCGCATATGGAGAGGTAAGAGGACAACTTGGAGAGCTGGTTTTCTCCTTCCACTATGTGAGTTCTGGGGACTGAACTCAGGTTATCAGGCTTAATGGTAAACACCTTTACCAGCTAAGCCATCTTGCTAGTTTTTTGTTTTGTTTTGATTTGGGGTTTTGTTTTGTTTTTTGAGACAAAATTTCTGTCTCAAAACAGCTCTGGCTGCCCTAGAATTCACTTTGTAGCCTAGGCTGGCCTGGAACTCATGAGATCCACCTACCTCTGCCTCCCAAGTGCCAGGACTAAAGGCAAGCACCACAACATCTGGCTTGATTTGTATTTTTAAGACAGGGTCATCTATGTAGCCCTGGTTGGGCTAGGATTCTGTACATCAACCAGACTGACCTTGAACTCAGAGCTCTTCCTGCCTCTTCCTGAGTGCTGGAAGTAAAGATATACACCACCACATGCGACGCACAACTCAGGTTTTCAAACAAATCATAAGATTTTGAAAAACTGAAGAGCCTCTGGTACAATTTATTCTAAGGAGCCAGATACAGCTTGAAATATAAAGTCATAATAGGGTAAATTTAAGGTCACAAAGAAACAGAAAAAGTAAGAGTTGAAGAACTTGGGGCTAGTGAGATGGCTCAGTGGGTTAAAGTGCTTGCTACAGAGGAGTGAGTTCACTCCTGGGAAAACCACAATGAAAGGACAGAACTGATTAAAATTGGTCCTCTAACCTCCATGGTCGCATATGTCTATACATGAAATACACACACACCAATAATAATAATAATAATAATAAATGAAGAGGTAGAACTGGCTATTTTAAAAAGAACATAACTGATTAAAATAACTGTCTAAATAACCATACTAATCAACAAATGGATTTGCCTCTCCCAGGCATATTTATATATGTTAATAAGGAGAAGTTTCTTAACGGATTCCTTTGAACTTCCCCAGGGCAAAATGCATACCTCAAAGGGACAAATTCAACCAAGGCACAAAATAATGTAAATCTTCACCATTAAGACAGATTTTTGTTCTGACTTTTATAGGGATGGCTTAGAATTACTAAACATAGCTCTACACATTTCTTTTTTCATTTGATAGCTAGCTAGAAGTGAATGGCTCCTATAAGTAAAACCAAAACAAACAGCAAAATTAAAGTGGAAAATGAATTAGTAAATTGATTCTGAAGAACATGCCCCTGAGTTAGAATTAATGAACTCTGTGGAAGAGAGAAGGTTTGCTCCTGCTAAGTAGAAAAGGGACACTAGCCAAAACAATCATTTAATTCCACTTTACCATCCAAATGGCGATCTCTATAAGAGCTCTCTGGGAACAGGCCCCTCAAATATGTTATACATGAGATGGAAGTAGCAAAAAGTTTCTTCACCATTATCAGTGACTCATGTTCGTTAGTGATTAGGGCTGGGAAAATTGTGCTCTGGAAGAAAAACAAAGATGAAAAAAAAAATCAGTATTCATGACTATATTCAGCCCACCAAACAATTGCCACAGGTCAGATGGAAAGACTTTTAAGATTTCAAATCTGATACATTTATAGGTAATCAAAAGAAAACAGGGCTCTGGATGCTGTGTTAAAATAGATCTTCTCACAAGCAAGGCAGAACAGAAAGGCAGGCGATTACTCAAATAATTCAGGACTAAAACAATTTATTTCAATGATCCATTGATCTAAGGCAAAATAAGAAGTTTTACTCATTATATAACCTCATACAATTATATAACTTCACACTCACCTCAGGCTTCTCTGGAATCTGAATTTTATTTACACTGTTCTCTCCAAAGTAACTATGTACATCTATCTCACCCCAGCTTCTTCCCATATCAATGTATAGCTTCTTGGCAGCATTTTACACTGTATCCGTATTTCTACCACAAGTTACCTTAACATTACTTTGTTTTGTTGTTGTTTTGGCAGAACTGGGAATCAAACCTAGAACCTTGTTCCATGTTGAACAAAAACCTGTTACTGAGCTAAACCTCTACCTGCTAACACTATTTCAGCTCTCATCCATCCATACACACCTGACTCGTACCCCACCCTAATGCCTGAGTCTCATTTGTTTGTTTGTTTGAATAAGGTCTCCCTTTGTAGCCCTGCTGGCCTGGAATTCAGAATTCACTCTATAGATCAGGCTGACCTCCAATTCAAAGGTCCTGTCTCTGCCTCCCAAGGGCTGGGATTGAAGGGTGCACCACTACACCCAGCCCATTTTTCTTTTCTTTCTTTTTTCCTTCCTTTCTTTTTTCTTTCTTTCCCTCCCTCTCGCCCTCTTTCTCTCTCTTTCCTCCTTCCTTCTTTCCTTCTTTTTTTCCTTTTTTCTTTCTTTCTTTCTTAACCAGTTGTCCTCCCCGGGAGTCTGTTTTCAATCCTCTTCTCTATTCACAGTTCTCTTGGATAATCTCACGTCTTCTCACAGCTTCAGTTATAGCCTGTAGAAGACTTCAATTTCCAACTTACGTTTTCTGCCTACACTTTTAAAATCTGGACATCTGTTCCTATATTACTTTGTAGACCCTGAAATTCAATTTATCTCTGCTACTGATGGTGCCCAGTTTCATTCCTAGACAAGTAAATCGCTTATTCCAGTTACCAGGTTTTGAATTTCATTCATCTTTGACTTTCCTCCATCATATGCCATATCTAAACCACCAAACTGTCTCTTTTTATGAACAATTTTTAAAAGCATGAAAAGAAGCAATAAAAGTTCTCTCTGTGCTATGTGTATGCTCCTGTGTGTTCAGGGACACACGTGTAGTTATACAACCATGTATGTACACATGCATGTGGACACCAAAGGCTACCCTTAAGGTGTGGGTTTGTTTTTTGTTGTTGTTGTTGTTGTTGTTGTTTTTGTTACAGGGTCTTTTACTGTCCTGGGATTCACTAATTAGGTGAATCCCAATAAGCACCAGGGATCACCTGTCTCCACCTCCCCAGTGCTGGGATTACAAGTGTGCACAATGCCTAGGATCAAACTCAGGCCCTCATGCTTGAAGAATGTAAAGTTACAGGCCCTAGTCACTTGAGAGTGTCTTGAGAGTAGACTGGTAAGAGGGAGGCGGTGTGATGAAGAGGTTAAGGGTACAGACTCTGCATCCCAACAACCAGGTCCAAATCATTATTGTGTTACTACCATGACTTATGATTTGAGCAGAGGTCAGCAACCTTGTATAGTTGATGTCCAGATAGTGAATATTTTAGGTTCTGCAGTTAATTCTCTCCCTGCAATATAAAAGAAGATGCAGACACCGTAAATAGGTGATTGTGTTACAATAAAACTCTATTGTTAATAAATTGTTGCAGGTACCTGATTCTGCATTGATCCGTCTCTCTTGTACCTCAATCCTTTTATCTGTAAATAGGCGTAATACTAAAACCTACTTTATAGAGGATTAAATAGACTAAAGTCTATAAAACGCTTCTATGGTCCCTATTTCAATCATTTATTGCTTTGGTTTTGGTTTTGTTGTTGTTGTTTTGGTTTGTGTCTGCATGCATGTGTGCATATGTGTAGTTTTACTTGTTATGTATTACTCTGTTAATTTGTAAAACATCAATTACAAAGCAAGTTCCAGGACAGACAAGGATACACAGAGAAATACTGTCTGGAAAAAAATAATAAAAGAAGAAAACCAAAAGAGAATGTATGTACTCTAATGGAATTTACAACCCAGGTGGAGAGAGAGAAAAGACTTGGACTAAAAGAGCAGACTGGGTTTCAAATGAACAGATAGACACTAAAGGTTGCACATGAAAGACAAGAGGAGCAGAGGTTGCACATGTAAGACAGGAGCAGTGGTTTACCTGAACAGGAAAGCTGTGGGAAAGTGAGACTACACTGGGCCCTACAGACAAGTGGCAAAGACAAGGAATGCTACTAGTACAGGCAAGGGGGCAGAAGTGTTGTAGTCATATCAGGGGCATGACTGTCAGATCAGGATAACCAATGCTGAGTGTTTAAGAAGGGTAGATATGGGAGAGAATCAAACAGAAGTCAAGATGCCCCAAATCTAGGACACTATACTAAAAAAGCTGTATTTAATCTTTAAAGCAACAGTAGATCCATGAAAGTTTGATAATAATTTTCATTTTTAATTAAATATTTTTTTTAAATTCTGTCTTTGGGACTACCAGAAATATTTTAGAGAACTGCTGAGTCCTGCCAAGATTATAAATGGCAAAGTACTAGTCCTAAAAAGCTCACAAAGTTTTTTTTAAGAGCAAGTTATCCCTAGAACATTTTGTTGAAAGAAAATCTCCAAATAATACAATGTATTTGGTTAAGTTAGGGAAATTCCAAAATGTAGCGACAGAATAAGCTCTCTGAGCTGTTGTTACTAGAATGAGACTACACTAATGTATGTCATCAGAACTTTAGAAATAAACACGCTAGAATTTCTGTTTCCAGGCCAGCAAAATTGTTCCTTGTATAAGGGCACCACACTTGATGGCCTTAGCTCCATCCCCAGGATCCACAAAGTGGAAAGAAATTCACTGATGCAATCCGGCAACTGATCTATGCAAGCACACACTGCTCACTCTCCTTACTCAATTTCTTAGTTAGGGTTTCTACTTCTGTGATGAAACACCATGACCAAATCCAACATGGGGAGGAAAGGGTTTACTTGTCTTATGCTTTCAAATCACTCTTCATCACTGAAGGAAATCAGGACAGGAACTCAAGCAGGGCAGGATCCTGGAAGCAGGAGTTATGCAGGTCATGGAGGGGTGATGCTTACTGGCTTGTTCCTTATGGCTTGCTCAGCCTGCTTTCTTATAGAACCTCCCTATCAAACACTAATTAAGAAAATGTCTACTAATTAAGGTCTGCTTACAGCCCAATCTTACAGAAGTGTTTTCTTCTTTTCTTCTTCTCCTTATTCCCTCCAATCTCCTCTTTTATTATTTTTCAAGACAGAGTTCCCTTCTGCAGTTCTGCTTGTGCTAAAACTTATCTACCTTGCTCTGCCTCCAGAGTGCTGAGATTAAAGGCATGTGCCACTACCACCCAGCTAGAGAGCATTTTTAAATTTTTTTTAAATATATACTAGTCCCAGTTCCACCTCCCCACTTCTTCCACCTCCACCTCCCCCTATCCCACCTCCATCCACTCCTCAGAGAAGGTAAGGCCTCCCTTGGGGAGTAACAAAGTCTGGTATACCAAGGTGAGGCAGGAACAAGCCCATTCCCCACATATCTAGGCTGAGCAAGTTATCCCTCCACAGGGAATGAGGTCGAAAAAGTCACTTCATGCACCCAGGATAAGCTCTGGTCCCACTGCCAGGGCCCTCCCCCAACAGATCAAGACAAAGAACTGTCACCCACATTCAGAGGGCTTAGTTTAATCCTATGCAGGATCCCTGGGTGTCAGGGTCCATGAGCTCCCACTAGCTCAGGTCAGCTGTCTCTGTGGTTTTCCCAGTCATGATCTTGATTCCCCCTTGCTCATATGATCCCTCCTCCCTTTCTTCTACCAAGCTCTAGGAACTGGGCCCAGTGCTTGGCTATGGATCACTGCATCTGCTTCCAGTTACTGGATGTAGGTTCTGTGATGAAAATTAGGATAGTTATTAGTCTGATTATAGGGGAAGGCCAGTTCAGGCACCTCCCCATTACTTTTAGGAGTCTTAGCTGGGGTCATCCTTGTGGATTCCTGGGAATTTCTCTAGCACCTGGTTTCTCCCTAATCCCATAATGGCTCCCTCTATCAAGATATTTCTTTCATTGCTTCCCCTCTCCATCCCTCCCCCACCTCGGCCATCTGGAGCCCTCATGTTCCCATCTCCTATCCTCTCCCTTATACTCTCCTTCCCAGGTGACACAGATCTTAACTATTTCCCTTCCTGGGGCTCTCCATGTGTGATCCTCTTAGAGTCCTTCTTTTTACCTAGCCTCTCTGGGGTTGTGTATTGTAGCCTGGTTATACAGTGCTTCATGTCCAGTATCCACTTATGACTACATACCATGTTTGTCTTTCTTGGTCTGGGTTACCTCACTCAGAGTGCTTTTTTCTAGTTCCATCCATTTGCCTGCAAATTTAAAGATGTCATTTTTTTTTTTTTACTGCTGAGTAATATGCCATTGTGTAAATGTACCACATCTTCCTCATCCGTCCTTTAGTCGAGGGGCATCTCGGTTGTTTCCAGGTCTTGGCTATACAAATAATGCTGCTATGAACATAGTTGAGTAAATGTGTTTGTGGTATCAGTGAGCAGCCTTTGGGTATATGTCCAAAAGTAGTATTGCTGGATATTAAGACCGATTCCCAGTTTTCTGAGAAAACTGCCATACTGATTTCCAAAGTGGCTATACAAGCTAGCACTCCCACTAGCAGTAGAGGAGTGTTCCTCTTACTCCACAACCTCTTCAGCATAAGCTATCATTGTTGTTTTTCATCTTAGCCATCTGACAAGTGT